TTTATTTCTATTCCCTTATCCCTTTATTCCTATACCCTTATCTCTTTATTTCTATACCCTTATCCCTTTATTTCTACACCCTTATCCCTTTATTTCTATTCCCTTATCCCTTTATTTCTATACCCTTATTCTTTTATTTCTATTCCCTTATCCCTTTATTCCTATACCCTTATCTCTTTATTTCTACACCCTTAAAATTAGTAGCGATCAAAAGTGCTTTTTTATCGCATTAAGCCTATACCCCCTTTCATTTTTCGCGAACACTCCCTTTAAGAGTGAAGTTTGAAATACAATGTTAAGAAAATTTAAAATTATTTGTCAAATCACTCCTTAGGCTGGTTAGTGATTATTTATAATGTAAACAAACGTTCAATATATTTCCTAATGGAAAGTTTTTACTTTAGGCAATTATCCCATTGGGATTAAATAGTAACATATGTATCAGGACCGTAATTGAGGAAGATGGGTGGGTGGGAGCAAATAAAAAATTTCAGATTTTTGTTTTGTATATATTTGACTGTAAAGATATTTCAGAAGTGACGAGAAATCCAACCTGAGACTACACAAATCTAAGATGGAGGAAAATATTAAATCTAAGATGAAGGAAAATATTAAATCTAAGATGGAGGAAAATATCAAATCTAAGATGGAGGAAAATATTAAAAGTTTTCCTTCGTCAGAAGACATGAAAACGCCAACAATAAACAATAAAATTGGGATAAGTGAGAACCCAGTATATAACGAGGACGCCAGGATTGAAACCACAATTGTACCTAACTTGATGAACGGGTCCCAGTCCCTCAACAGTACTCCGGGTCCAGGGTTCCAGTCCCTCAACAGTACTCCAGGTCCAATACGATTCAAGAACCTTCTCTTGGACCAATCAAGGAACCATCAGGTATATTTTAACGTTAACATTAACCTAAATTTTAAATGTGAATTGTTTTTCAAATTTGGCGCAAAACAGAATATACTACTTATTGCACATAGTGCTAAATGCTCAGCGAAAATATTCTTCATTTCAAAATAATCTTTCAAACTTATTTTTGACGATTCATAAGTTCACAACGGTATCCCCCAGAAACATTGTTCATCTATGATTATTATTATTATTATCATTATTATTATTATTATTATTATTATTTATTATTATTGAGTTATTTTTGTTTTTCTCTCTGAAAATTTATTATTTTCAATTAATGTTTATCTATACGGTAGAGAAAATGAAGGAAATTGTAAGAATCCGAGATGTTTTCAGACAGAAAAACGATGATATCTTTCTTATTGTGATTCATTTAACGGTAGAAATGAAAAAATCATGATGCAGATGAAGAAATGGAATAAAAAGAATTAATAAATTCCAACTTAAAGATATCTGATAACGTTGTGTTTGACCCTAATGAGCCAGGAGTTCTAATTAAAATATAACTAATTGCTGTGTAGAAAAAAAATATTAAATTTTAAGATCGAAAGTTAAATCTTGAATAGTCGTAAATTACTCCAATGCACAGTTGGGATTAATTAACCAGATATTTCCTGATATTTGAAGGTTTTTTTTGCTGGAAAAATGAGAACTTAGAGAAAACTGTCAAAAAATTTCAATAGTATATTCAATCAAAAAGTTTCAAATTTTCTAAGTTAAAGGTTGACTAAACTTATGGCTGAAAAATATGTTGCAAAACTCGGATGAAAAAATATACTCAAGATCTTAATTAATATTATAGAAATTAAACAAATATAGAGGGCTTAGAGTAGAAATAAAGTGAAAGGATTTGCCAGGAACACTATAATTTGCTAATCCATGTATATTTTCAACTTCATGCTGCAAACCTTTAATATTTAATACTCAAGATCATTAATCTATAACATGATTCATAGATTGAAATTTCTAAGATCTATGCGATGCGGTTGAGCGGATTTTTGGTAATGTGAATTTGGTAATGACAATTTGGTGACCATTTGGTAACGACAATTTGATAATGACGATTTGGTAAGTTAACAAAAGTGACAATTTGGTAATAACATTTTGGTAACTTTATAAAAGTGACAATATGGTAATGATAGTTTGGTAAGGACAATTTGGTAAGGACATAAAAGCGACAATCTGGTAATGATAATTTGGTAATGACAATTTTGTAACGACATAAAAGTGACATTTTGGTTATGAAAATTTGTTAAAGTGAAAGATTTGATTAAAAAGTATACATATTTGCATTTATTAATAAATCATTAATTACATTATGTTGGGTTAAGTTAGGTAAAGCGATATAATGTATTCCTTTATTCCACGCAGCTTTATGTTTGATAAAAAATACATATTTTATCTTTTATAACATTATTTTGTAGACCGAGGAAAATTTGAAAATTTGAGAAAAATATTTTATATCGTGTAACTTTTTTTTCAAACAATTCTAACTAACTGAAAAGCAATTTACCTGATGAAAAGTTTTAAATAAAAAAAAACAATCAAATCTAACAATTGTAGGTGTAGAAAAATGTCTGAAAAGCAATCTGAACGGCCTTACAATTTTTTTTTTCTTTGATGCTAGTACTCCTAGATTATTTATCCCCATGCTAGTAAGGTTTTCTAAAAAGTTCAAAAATTATCTAGTTGGAAAATGTTGAAATATGTGTATTTGTACTTTTGACAAATTAATATTTGATTACATCCATTTTTCAACGGCTTTTTAAATAAATAGCTTATGCATAAAAAATGGACTATATTAAATGTTTCAAAACACTGACCATCTGTTAGACCATTCTCCACCCTACCCTTTGCATTAAACATAGATTTTATTGCAACTTTTGTCACTACTTTATAATTGAAAAAGTGAAGAAGTTTGAGCGCTTTAGTGTAAGCCGTTGTTAAGTTAAGTGATAAAACACCCCCCCCCCCTCTAACGTTTTTGCTCTAAACATACTTTAAATCCCGGTTCAAAGGTGAAAAAAACGTAATTGATTTATTACAATTATTTTTTCAGTTTTGAACAATGGTGAACCTGAGAAACCAAGGGGGGGATGAAAGAAAATTTAAATAAAAAAACTGAATAACTCACCTCAAATTTTCTTATCATTATATCGTAGCAACCTGATGTCGAGGACCTTTGATTTTTTCAATTATAAATACATTCCTGGACCAAATAGAAAACAATCTAACTATCAAAGGTCGATCACCCTCAGGTTGCAAAGATAAAGACTTTAAAGCCAATATTTAGTTTCTTGTCTAAATATTTTAACCAATTTCAATTAGATTTTTTTATTTTTTACAAAATCGAGATTGAAGAGAAAAAAAAATTATTTTTTGCACAATTTCCACTGATTTTTAACAATATTGAAGATCCTAAAATATTTTGCACTATTTTAAATTTGCAAATATCTTTAATCCCCTCCCTTCTATTGCAATTTTCTAGGATGAAATGTGCAGAAAAAAAAGAACAAAAAAGTAGATAAAGATAATTAGAAATTATTGCTTACCTGTCCTCTTGATATATTTCTAATTATAACATAATTAAAATATAGCTAATGATAATAAGAAGAAAATTTCTATTCGAATACAAATTCTTTGTTATTTTCTAATCTAGGATAATAGAGACATTGTTTCAATCTACGTCATTCAAAGAAACAGTAACTAAAGTATACTATACGAGTTTTTAACTAAAATTAAATTATAAAATGATTCATTTAAATTTTGTAAATTTAAAATATTTACAATTAGCTTGGAAACCCAGCTTTTCCTGGATTTTTCCCTATAAAAGTCCAATTAGAATCTGTAAACTTTAAGAACGTCGCTTTCCCAAGTTCCCCAATCTCAATTTAAGACAAATTGTCAAAGGAGTTCATGAGTTATGATCAATTAAACAAACAGAGATTTCCACTTTATTTATATATAGATTAACTCGGAAACCATGCTTTGCCCGGAAACAAATATTATAGTCAACTCACTTAACTTATACCCGTGCAGTTCTGAGTTCCTCTATCAAAATTTGAGATAATATGCATTTGCACAAAACTGTATAGACTATAGATGCATCTCTTATCCTCATGTGCTTTTCACGAATACATTAAACATTAATCTTTTGCAATATCATCTAAGAGGCGATTTTTTCTCTCTTTACCCTGAAACCCTGTCTAAAAATGAAATTTGATATCTTCAAAATTGACTAGACCCATTCACATTCACAAACCTGGTTTTTGACAAAAACGTATGCAGCTGAAAGGTAATGGCAAGGCTAGGTATCAAAACTTATTATCATGATTGTTTACATCGAAAAGTACAAATGGGAAATTTATCTTTATTGTTCTAATTTATAAATAAAGAATTAAAGAATTCTATTGACCATCCCCCCCTCCGCCCGTCCCCTTGCTTCCCAATATGTTTGAAAATGCAGTGTTAGTAAAATCTGTGAACCGAATACAAGACTGCAGTCATTCAATTAACTTCAAGAGTAACTGGAAATGGACAGATTGGGGGCAGGAGGTTGCTTTCTGGGCTCAGCCCCTCCCTCCCTCCTGGAAAGATTGTTGTTTCGATTTACGGAGAAAACCAGGGAAAGTTTGAGACTCTCCCCCCCCCCTTTCTAAACAAATTTCAGGATGCGCCCCTGCAGAAAATAAAATAAACAAAACCCTTGGTTTTAGTATCAACATGGATGGAATTAAAAACAAACAAACAATATTTTTCCTATTTTGAATCATGATCCGTACCAAAAGAGTGCGAGTCTGTTAAGGAACTAAATATTTGTACTGTATGTATAAGTACATAACAAGTACAGGTTATTTGCCCCTTTACAGGGTAAAGTTACATCGTCTATACATCCCTCCCTATTGAACTTCTGACCTACTAACTTTCCGACCTATTGCAATATCGGACCTACGCCAGCTGTATATTTTTGTAATATTTGAGGGTTAGGATAGGTTAAGACAAATTCTGTGCCGAGCGCTGCGGCTAGGACAGACTGGGGGGCCTAGCGCCGCGGCTGGGACAGGCTAGGGGGCCGGACTCTTCGGCCACAAGTCCATATAGAATCTGTAAAACCACGTGCTAGTAGGTCGGATGTGTAGTGTAGCGGATTTGGCGTAGGTCAGAAGTGGAGTACAGCGGATTTGCGTAGGTCGGAAAATACAACATGCATCGCTTTACAGTCTAGCAAGGTTGTAATGCAAGGAAAATTAATTGCTGTCGCGTTTACTCTGTATTACACCCTTGCAGTCTAGGAGATTACATTTGTGCGCTACAAGAGCTACAATAAAGAACCCGTCTGTAAATCCTGTAAAACATAAGGACTGGCTTTCTCATGCCAGACAGTGCCATTTCCGTTCCCTTTATTTCTATACCCTTATCCCTTTATTTCTATACCCTTATCC